GAAATTCCAGGGCCCTGTCCAAACACACACAGATATTTAAGATCCAGCCGGAAAGATGAGTTGGATTTTCAAACAAGCGAATGGATGCAGCTTCTGTGGCCTTAAAATAGAAATTCAGGTGTTGGTTTCAGACAGAGCACTTCACAAGCAGACAGCCCAAGCACCTGTGGCCCTAGGCAGACCCCCTACCTCTGTAACCAATGCATCCGCAGGCGCTGGCTCCTGGGACCCGCGGGTGGGCGTCAGGGATGCTCAGCATGGGGTGTGGCTCTGCTGCAGAATGAGGAGGAGCTTTTCCTGCTCACCGGGGCATCAGCACCACCAGCTCACGCATCAGGAAAGGGAGAGACAACCAGGGGAAAACCAAGGTGGGAACGAATTCGCCTGTGCCCACTGTGTCGAAGCTCAGGTCAGCGACCTCTGAGTGTCACCCTCGGCCCCACGTGTCCAGGGGGCTGCACCCCAGCCCCTGCTAACCAGGCATGCCCAGGGAGGTAGGAACTGCTCAGGCACTTGAAAAACAGGCATCCTGAGGCGGGCCTGGTAGGGCCCCACTGTGGCCTGGAGGGCCAGCAGCTCTGAGGTGGGGTCGTGTGTGCAGCTCACAGCTCGGCCAGCAGCAGGGCGAGGGTCTGGCTTCAGCCTGTCTGGGCTCAACGTGGCTGTCAGGAGGATGACAGCAGGCAGTCTCTTTCCCGCAGAAGGCGCGTTTAAGAAACCAGCGCCGCCACGTTGGCCCCTGAGTGGCAGGTCCACGATCCCACAGTCCTCCAAGCTCAGGGGCCTAAAACCTGGGACTTGGTTGGTTTTCCTGTAACTAGACCTAGTTCCTGTGGCAGATGCCCAGACGAAAGAAAAAGAAGGCCGGGCTGCTGGCCCCCAGAATCTCTCCACTCTCACCCACCCTTGTGCCAGTCCCATATACTCCAAAATCAACCCAAGTCTGGAGGGGTTCGGGTAGGAGGCAGAGAGTGGGGGGGTTGGGACAGGGTCTCTGAACTTCACTTATCCCCTGCAGGTGTGGCCTGAGGCATTTGCATGGAGGAGGTGTGGACTGGTGTCCTGGGCAGGTCCACCGCGGTCAGGAGGGCGGCCCGGAAGACTCAGCCTCAGCTCTGGGCTGCACGTGGCTGCCTGAGACGCCTTCCGATGCCACAGGCCGTGACTTCGAGGCACCTGTGGGGCCGCAGAAGTCCCACGGTCTCCAGGCGGGACGTGGGACCACCAGCCTCGAAACACCCCAGTGCCTGACAGGCACAGAGCTGGGGCCGTCAGGGTGCCACGAGCTTCAGGGAATGAAGCTCTCAGTGATGAGGCTGTGGGCCCGGCAGGGCCGAGCCTCGAGCTGGGTGCCCAGCGAGTGCGGCTGCCTGTGCCGTGCTCTGCCTGTGCTCCACTCATAGTTACTCCCCCACCGTGGGTGAGGTACAAGTGGGATCAGGGTTGGATGGGAAGTGGATGGGGCCCGCCTGATGCCTGTCCTCCAGAACACTTGGCCCTTGTGCTGGGACCTACTCAGGGCCGTGGGGCCTTGCAGGCTCTTGCCCTGAGCAGCTCACAGTGTCCTCTCCAGTGACTCGCAGAGCCGCCCAACACTGCCATCCAGGGATCCTGGAAACCACTCTCTCCAGCCCCACCCAAAAGAGGCAGAAACCCTCTGGCTTCCACAGAAAGGTGCAGGGCCCGATGCCCCAGGAAAGCTGATGGGGCTCCCACGACAGCGAGGCCCTGAGCAGATGTCAAGGGGGTGCAGGAAGGTGGCGAGACCTCACCCTCCAGCACTTGAGGAATGGAGAAGCGAGGCTCCGTCAGATAGACTTCTGTGTGTGGTATGTGTGCTGTGTGGTATGTGGTTCGTGATCCGCCCGTCTCGGCCTCCCAAAGTGCTGGGATTACAGGCTTGAGCCACCGCGCCCGGCAGGTGATCTCTTTAAATTGCCCTTTTTATTAACTGCTCAAAACAACCCCAAGTCACTGTTCCCACCCCCCACTGTCTCAAGTGAGAGTATTTTCTGCTGCTAACGACTTCCATGGAACACACTGAACATTTTCTCTCCATCTCTGCGGAAGCAGAGCCCCTCCTTTGTTGTTCTTCTGAGGAGCACATGAGCCTCAACTGATTTGCCATCTCTGAAATCCGATGATCAGCATGTGTATATTAAGCTCTCACACACGCTGGCACAGAGGCTGGCTGGGCCATCCGAGGGCCCCAGGCCTCCCCAGAGGAAGAGGGGAACATCCACCCTTTGTATAAAGCCAGAGCTCCAAGGTGGATAAGGATGGAGCACCATGGGGATGAAGTAGATCTGCCCCCACATCCCCCACATCCCGTAAGCCCGCGTGTGACGGGGGGACCGCCCCCCACATCCCGTAAGCCTGCGTGTGATGGGGAGACCACCCCCCACAACCCCTTAAGCCGGCATGTGACAGGGAGGACCGCCCCCCACATCCCGTAAACCCGCGTGTGATGGGGAGGACCGCCCCCCCATATCCCGTAAGCCCATGTGTGATGGGGAGGACCGCCCCCACATCCCGTAAATCTTCATGTGACAGGGAGGACTGCCCCCCACATCCCGTCAGCCTGCGTGTGACAGGGAGGACCGCCCCCCATATCCCATAAGCCCGCGTGTGACGGGGAGGACCGCCCCCCATATCCCGTAAGCCTGTGTGTCACAGGGAGGACCGCCCCCCCACATCCCATAAGCCCGCGTGTGATGGGGAGGACCACCCCCCACATCCTGTCAGCCTGCGTGTGACAGGGAGGACCGCCCCCCATATCCCATAAGCCCGCGTGTGACGGGGAGGACCGCCCCCACATCTTACACCTCGGTGGGGCTCACAGGCAGGGAGGATGCCCCTGCCTGAGGGAGTCACCACCCCCTCCCGCCACAAAGCCTCACTGTCTCCAAGGTCCCAAGTCAGAATGCAAACTTGAAGCCTGGCCCCTCACAGCCAGAGCTTCAGCCAGCCAGGCCCCAGCACCAGGGCAGCCCAAACCAGCCCTGGAGCCAGACAAGAGGAAGCAGCTGATGGAACCACGCGTTCTCTCTCCTCTGGGGCCCCGAGGGGCGGCGGCTGAGGTTGAGGATGGAAGACAGGCCGGGCCACCCAGGCTGTGCTCTGGGCTGCAAGTTCTTGGCACCTATGCGATTCCAAGTCCGGGTCTGTGCAGAGCCGATTGGGCAGCACCTGCAGGCCCAGCGTCCCTGGAGATACCCCTGCCCCTGCGGGCCTCCAGCTCTGGGCTTGGCAAACTTCCCGTGGGAGACCAGGAGGCCAGAGAGAAGCCCCCAGGACAAGGCTGTGGCCCCGGGGGACATGGTCCCTGCCGTGATGGGGACGTCCCTGGAGCAGGGCAGGAAGCTTGGGGGAGGAGGAAGCTGCCTGTAGCACATGCAGACGCGCCTGCCCACAGGAGAGACCACCGCAGGGTCGCTGGCAGAAGCTCCCGCCATCTTCTGACCCTGGGGACAACATCTTCCCCCATCACAGAAATGGAAAAGATGCTTCCAGGCCAGACCTCTGGCAGGGGCCTTGTGTTCCCCAGGAGAGGGCCCCAGCTTTATATTCAAAGTGAGAGAGGAGACTGAGGCACGGGGTGCAGGGATCCCTCCACGAGGAGATGGTGTCAGGCTGGGGCCCTAGTCGTCTCCATTGAGCCCAACAGCTGCCGTGTCCCGGGCAGGACTGAAGGCAGCTGCCCCAAGCAGGCCCTGGACGCCAGGGACCCCCAGCAGCCCCCTCTCCATGAGTGCCGGTTCCCGCTCCCTCCACGGGGTCCCTGGCGCAGGTCCCCGGGGTGAGCTGAGAAGGTCGTGGCTCTCGGGCCCGGCTCAAACCTGAGCCCTGTCCTGGACGTGAGGGTGGGGTGTGTACACGCCTCCCCCGGACGTCACTCTGAGGAATGTCTCTTCCTGCCAACGTCATGGGTTGGGAGCAGGTCTCCTTGCGGAACATCTGAAGACCTATGTCATGTGTGACTTCAGAACTAACGACCCTCCACGTTCACCCTGCCCTTCCCCACACACAAACACATCACGGTGCGTGCTTCGATCTGCAGCTTTGTCGGGCTGGGCCTGACCCAACTTTCTTTGCAGGGCTGCTGTTAACGCACACAAAATGACCTGCCAATCAGCCGGGCATGTGGGCCGTGCCTCCCACCCAGAAAGGAAGCCCAGGTTTATCAGGACCAGGGATTCTCAAAAGCGTCCCCAGGGGGCACGGGGCACATCCAGGCAGGAGACATGGGGCACGTCTGGAGACAGTTTGGGTTTTCACACTAGCGGCTCCTACATGCCGCAGGCAGAGGCCAGGGCCTGCCAGCACCCCCAGCACCCAGGGTGCCCCAGCACGGCAGGTGGCCAGCCCCGAATGCCTGCAGTGCCGAGGTAAGAAACACGGCCCGGTCGGTGTAGTGATGCCGGATTATCAGGGTCTGTTTCACCCGTGGCCACAGGACAGAGCTTCGTGGCACAGAAGGTGGTCATGCCCAGGAGTGGAAACGGGACAGGCAGGTAGAGGCCACTGCTCTGCTCGCCTGCCACCGTGGCCTCTCCCTCCGTTGTCCCCAAGGTCAACAGCATCATGTCAGGATGAACCCTATGAGGTCTCCATCTACAGGTAAAATGGGGTTGGATTCCGGCAGATCCATATGGCTCCACCTAAATAACCTGGCTGTGCCCCCAGGACGTCCACCAGCAGACACACAGGAGCCTCCACACTGCAGCAGGAGCTGCCCAGGCCTGTGCAGGGCCAGTCCCAGGGTTAGAAGAGCCAGCTGCCGGCAGAGCATGGTGGTGGGTCACCTGGCGCAGTCCCCGGCCATACTTGCAGGGACGTTGTGCCCCAACGGCCGGGTTGTTACTGCCCCCCACCTCCCATCCCTAATCCAGAAGGTGAGGCAGCTGCAAGACCTCATCCCCTCCGACCCCAGCCCTATCCTGTCCACCCCACTGCCTGCAACCAGCACGTCCAACTCCAGCAGGTGACGCTGGCCCTACCTGAAGGGGCAGAGGGTAGGACGAGCAGGTCGGGACGGGCTCGGGCGTCGGGCGGAAGCCTGCACAGGCCAGGATCTGCTGGGCAGGGTTGTAGAGGGTCTGCGGTGGGACGGCTGGGCCGTAGGCCAGCTGGGACAGGGGCACCTGCCATGGAGAGGAGACGGGTGGTCAACGTGCACCCCCTAGTGGAGGGAGAGGCCGTCCAGCCTTCCTAGCAAGCCCAGCACCTCTGACCCCTGCCTCTCAGGCTGGAGCTAACCCCGGCCCGGCGTGTCTTTACACTCAGGCTCTCTACATCTTGGTCCCAGGGCCCTGCCACCTGCCAGTCACACCGGCTGACTGCTTGGCTCAGGCTCTTTTTTACTTAATATTTTTGGGGGAAATAGCACTGGTTTCCTTCTCTCTGGGCCCCAGAGTCTGCTTTTTCGGCACAGAAGGGTGCAGGTGAGGAAGGTCCTCTCAGCATTGGGCTGACAGCTCTCGCTTCCCCAAGCCTGCACCCAACCAGCGCGGGGTTTCTGGGGAATGCAAACAAAACCAAAGCCTTCTAAGCTCCCATCCACACTTCCACTGACCCACTCAGGGTCTTCTTCAGATTCTTCTCCAAAGAAGGTGCCAGCTCCAACTCAGGTCCCAGCCGGCCTCATCCCCCACAGAGGGAGGGGCCCACGGCTCACACAAGCTCCAGGGCTTCCCTGGCCAGACACATGGGGACTGGGCCGAGGGAACCCAGGCCTCGCCTCCCTCCCCACCTTCACACAGGTGCCCCTCCACCTTCCCCAGCCCCCAGCCGTCAACCCCGGGTTCAGCAGCACCCTGGAGGGAAGCCAGGGGAAGATGGCACAGGCAGGGAAGCCAGGCCAGAACTGCTGCAAGGGTCTGGCCACAGGGACCGCCCCGGGCCACGGTGATGACCCCAGGCCTGAGGTGTCCTCAAATAGAAAACAGCGCTGCCCACACCCCTGCGGCTGGGAGGGAGCCCCCTGCCCAGTGGGCGCTGGAGGGTGGGAAGGGGCAGGGGCTTCTGGGCAGCTAGTCCTTGGTCTACAGGTGCAGGAGGCCGTGGTTCTGCCTCAGACCCTGCAGAGAACAGGGAGGTAGCTGAGGTGGGCCTGGGAGGTGGATGGGCATGGAGGGTCCGTGCTCCATGAGATTTGAGGTTCTGACAGGTAGAGGGGTGGGGAGGCCTCTGAGCTGGGGGTGGCCTGAGGATGGGGCCAGGGCAAGTGCACAGAAACCAGAGACCACGGGGGCCACGGAGTCACACGTGGAGGAGGCCCGAGAGGCTGGCTCACCCGCCTGCCCTTGCCGGCACGTTAAGCACCTCCTACACACCCGTCACAAGGAATTTGCCCTCGTCTACGGAGAAGGGCCGTCCAGCTTGGTGATGGGTAAGGAAGCATCTTCGTTCCTTAACAAAAGGTTTAAACGGCAAAATCAATTAAACTCACAAGAGTGCCTGCTTGGTGGGTGTGAAGGTTAGCAAGCCCCCTCCTTGCTCTGCACACCCCTGAGCTTTGGGTTTGAGAAAGATTTCCCGGAGCCGGGGGTGGCTCTGCGTTGTGGGCTGGCCCTTGGGGCATCTCCTGTTCCTGATCCCGCACTCCAGCATTTTATCATGGGCTTTAATGAACACACGAGCCACTTCCGGAAAACCCTGGAAACCCCGGGCCTGTGCGGCGAGCGTGGTGCCTGCACCACACGCGCGTTTCTGTGTCCTGTCTACAATGCAGCTGCAGTTCTTCCTAGGACAGCCACTGAGGGGAGACACTGAGCCGCCGAGGCAGAGAAGCCTGAACCGAGGAGACGCCAAAGGCACCCAGAGCCTGCAGGACCCCCGGCAGAGACCCTTCCCAACCCCAGACTCCCGCTCCCACCCGGCCCCAGCCGTCACCGCAGAGCAAGGGGCTGGCCAGCCATCACCGTAGAGCAAGGACCCTGGGAGGGGCCCGTCTTGTGTTGGTGTGTGGGCGTCTGGGGGCCCAGGGTAGGGCTTGGGGGGCCACCGGGTGGGGAGCCAGAGGGCTGGACCTCGGGATGCCAGGGTCACTCTCAGCTTCACCAGTTTTGTCTGGAAGCACAAAAGTGCTGAGAAAAGGAGAAGCTGAGAAGCAGATGGCAGGAGGGTTTCAAGCTGAGTTACTTTTTAGTTACGGGCAGTCTCTGGGATAAATGGGGCATGGAGAAGCCACTCAGGAGTGCTGTCACTGCCACACTGGGCCGGGTCTGGCCTGCAGGATGTGCGTCTGCCTGGTGCTGCCCGGTCACCTCGCGTGGGTGCAAGAGGGGACGCCCTTCGTCCCTGGGCCCTCGTGTGGGTGCAAGAGGGGACGCCCTTCGTCCCTGGGTTGCTGTTTGGATGTTCTCGGGGTGGGGCTCCCTCACTCATGGCTGCCCCTCCCTTGCAGTTTCTCTGCAAGTTCAGGGGCGGGTTTGCTGGCCACACACCACCAGAACATCTGGTTCGAAACAGGTGCCAGGAGAGGGCAGAGGAGGGAGAAGGGAGAGGATAGCCAGCCCAGGCCAGTGATTTCCCTGTGGTTTCCTGGGCGGGCGAGGGCCGGCCTTTCCAGGACAGGTCCAGCCCAACTCCTGCGAGGGGCCCCATCCCTCCCTCCTCCTGCCCAGGCCATAGGGGTCTCGCCTCTGGGGTTTGTGAAGTCACTGGCCCCGGCCCCAGCCCAGACCTGCCGGTCTGAAGCCCCAGGCAGTTGCTAACGAGGGGAGCTTAGTGCACAATGGCTGGGCCTCCCTCTTGGGAGCTGAACTTTGTTTACTGGGGGTGGGTTGTGCCCACCTCAGCAGGGAGGCCAGGATTAAATCAAGTGATTCTTGGGACAGGCTTGGGACAGGACGGCCCCAAAGTGAGTTGGTGCACAGCAGTTGTCACCCTGACACGCCACCGGCAGACACACAGGCCTCAGTGCCTGTAAAGTGAGGGCCAGGGATCCCCCAGCCCACCCTGGGGAAATGGACCCGCAGCCCGGCTCCCGGTGAGCAGCGGGGGTCCCGCCAAGGGGCCTCACCATGTCCTTGAAGGCCCCCAGGACGGCAGCGGTGATGATGCCCAGGAACAGGCCCAGGACGTTGAGAACCGCGGAGGCCCAGAGCAGGCGGTACAGGTGCAGCACGTCCTGGCAGCCGCGGACGCCGATGAACTCATAGTAGGCGGGCGAGGACTCGGCGCTGCACGGAGAGGGCACCACAGCGTCACCACACGAGGCAAGTGACCACCCGCAAGTCAAACTTGTGGTCAGGTGTCCTCTGGACCTGAGCCCTGCAAGGCTGGGGGAGGAAGTCAGGGCTGCAGCCCAGTCAGCACCGGTCCCTGCACTGCTCTGGGGGATCAAACCTACGTTTGATGGGATTGGCCTGTGAGGCTCCCCACCTGGGGCCCACAGTGGCCAAGAATGACAACCGGGCCTGGCAGGCCAGCCCTCCGCCTCAGTGGCCCAGCAGGATGGGTGTCTGAGCCATCTCTGTCTTCACGCCAGGATGGGACGGCTGTCGGGGTCACGGGCCCCTGTCCCGAGAGGAGGCCGGGCCAGGTTTAAACTCTCGCCCGACACACGGGCTGTGCCCTCTTGGGCAGATCAACCTTTCAGAGCCTCCGTCTTTTCATCTGTGAAATGGACTCAATGTCCTTTCCTCATATAAACATCTAAGGAGTAAAGGAGACGATGTAGGTGCAGGGGGATGGGGGGTGATGTCGGGAGCGGAAGGATGGGGGCCTTGCCCCTGCAGGCACATACAGGGGTCCCCGGCACCCCTCACCTCCTGCAGGCATAGCTACGGGGGTCCCTGATGCCCCTCACCTCCCTCAGGCCTGGATACGGGGGGTCCCCGGCACCCCTCACCTCCCACAGGTGGGGATACGGGGGTCCCCAGCGCCCCTCACCTCCCGCAGGCATGGATATGGGGGTTCCCGGCACCCTCACCTCCCGCAGGCATGGATACGGGGGTCCCTGGCTCCCCTCACCTCCCGCAGGCGTGGATACGGGGATCCCCGGCGCCCCTCACCTCCCGCAGGCATGGATATGGGGTCCCCGGTGCCCCTCACCTCCCGCAGGCGTAGAGGTCACAGCAGTAGCAGGTGTTGCTCCTCACCTTCAGCTGGCACTGGCCGTCCAGGGAGTGACAGGTGACCTGGGGCAGAGAGGCCGTGTCAGGTCACACGCCAGCGTCCGCCAGCTCACTCACCCCACCAAGCGGGGCTGCCTCGTGGAGCTGGGAGCAGCCACTCGGGCCCAGCCAAGCCGCTGCCCCTCCTGACTTTCCCCGGACTCCAGACGCAGGGCTTGGGGGCTCAGGGGCCAGCACCCTTCCTGCAGGAGGAGTCGGGGCGCAGGCTGGTCCCAGGGGCTGGATAACCGGGGCTCGGAGGACAGGCCTCGTTTCTTTGTGATCCCAGGAGCAGAGGGAAACATCAGGGTGTGTGGGAGGAAGGACAGAGCCCAGGAGGCCCTCGGCATGGGGTGCACAGAAGCCTGAGAGCCCAGAGGGCAGCAGAAGAGGTCCCGTCCCAGGGCGCCCTCCCCCCAGGTCTGAGCACGGGCAGCCTCGGAAGAGATACCTGCCACCTCCATGTGACAGCCTGGAAAGCCCTGGCCATGGGACACCCCCCGAAACACACACACACAGAGAACACCTCCCCCCCCTACACACACACACGCCTACATACACACACACACACAGAGGACACCTCCCCCCCTACACACACACACACATAGGACGCCTCCACACACACACAGACACACACAGGACACCTACACACACACACAGACACACACACAGAGGACGCTTACCCCCCCCCACCACACACACACAGGATGCCTCCCCCCAACACACACACGGGACGCCTCCCACCTACCCCCCCACACACAGGACGCCTCCATTCACACACACACACACGGGACGCCTCCCACCTATCCCCCCCGACACACACAGACACAGGATGCCTCCCAGCAGCTACTGGAGAGTCCCAGACAAGCTGGCAGGTGCTGGCCACAGAGAGGCCTCCAGCTCCGCCTGCCCCTCTGACACCGTGCTAAGGATGAGAGGCTGCGTTTAGTTGAAGCCAGGAATCCACACAGGGCAGGCTGGAGACACACAGACAGCGCCGTCGCCGAGCTGTGCCCTCGGATGGTCCTGGCGAAGGCGGGAGCTGCCCGCGGGTCATTACTGCCTGCATCTCACTCACCTGGAAAGAGAAATGAGGTCACACTGCCTGCCGCTGTCAGTGGCTCAGGGAAATCCAGAAGTTTCTCAGACACTGTAAACATATTATCCTTGCTTCTTATTGCAATAATTAAGTTAGAAAAGTGCTAATTGGAAGAGCCACACAGAACCAGACACATGAACTCTGAGACTGCTGAGATTTAACAAAGTAAGTCTGGAGCTCTGACTCCAGAGTGAAATACAGCACTTAGAAGCATCAAGGCCCAAAACACAGGGGGCACTGACAGCTCACCAGCCGCACGGGAGACCCCCAGGAACTATTAGAATCGAAATACTCAGACCATGCCTATGCACAGGGAAAACCACGTGGGGTCAGTGGGGTTAGCGGAGCAAAACCCACGTGAATGTCAGTGCTCCTGCTCACCTCTGTCTGGTAGACGTCATACAAGTACCCCACCCCACTGGAGTAAAACTGGCACCTTCCCGTGGTGAGGGGCCTCGGTTCCTAGAGAAACAGATAAACACAGGTGGAATAAAACAGGTGCCTCCAGGCGGGAGAGGCCAGAGGCAATGTCAGGCCTGTGGGTCTCAGGCTCAGGGCCTCAAGGACCAAGGCCAACACCAACTCGAGCCTCCCAGACAAAACTCAAGACGGGAGACTCCACGCTCCCTGCAGAGCAGCTGGGCTGCTGCATCCAGGCGGCCAGACAGCAGAAAGTCCCATGGGAGGATACCTCGGGCTATGCAGGCTTGGCCAACACATATTCTCCATCAGTCAACAAGGGCAGCAGAAGGGAGACAGGTGCTTGGCCTTTTGAAGGGCATCCCAGCACCCCACACCACAGGTGTTAGGCTCCTGCACCGTTTCATAAAAAAAATTGTCTCTTCTACTAGGAAGATGGCAGGAAGGATTTCAGACTAATAAACTCATCCCTCCAACCATCCAGTCATCCACCCACCACCCAACCATCCATCCAATCATCCAATCAATCATCTATGCACCTACCCATTCTTCCTTCCATCCTCCACATCTATCTATTCATTCATCCATCATGTACCCATCCTTCCATTCATCCACATCCATGCATCCACCCATCTGTCATCCATCCTTCCATCCATCCATCTATCCATCCATCATCCATTATCCATCCTTCTATCTATCCATTCCTTCTATCTATCCATCATCCATCCTTTTATCCATCCACATCCATCCAACCTTCCAGCATTCATCTACCCATCCAACCACCATCTGTAATCCATCCTTCTATCCATCATCCATCATCCATCCATTATCCATCCTTCCATTCACCCACATCCATCTATCCATCCGTCATCCATCCTTCCATCCATCCATCATTCATTATCCTTTACATCCATCCATCCTTCCATCCATCCACCATCCATCCATCATCCATTCCATCATCCCTTCCATTCATCCACATCCATCCATTCACCCATCTGTCATCCATCCTTCCATCATCCATTATCCATCCTTCTATCTATTCATCATCCATCCTTTTATCCATCTACATCCATCATCCATCTTTCCATTCATCTACATCTATCCAACCACTCGTCTGTCATCCATCCTTCTATCCATCCATCCATCATCCGTCCATTATCCATCCTTCCATTCATCCACATCCATCTATCCACCCATCTGTCATCCATCCTTCCATCCATCCATCATTCATTATCCATCCTTTTATGTATCCATCTATCCTTCCATCCATCCACTCATACATCCATTATCCACCTTCCATTCATCAACATCCATCCATTCACCCATCTGTCATCCATCCTTCCATCTATCCATCCATCATCCATTATCCATCCTTCTATCTATCCATCATCCATCCACATCCATCATCCATTCTTCCATTCAGCTACATCTATCCAACCTCTCATCTGTCATCCATCCTTCTATCCATCCATCCATCATCCATCCATCAGCCATCCTTCCATTCATCCACATCCATCCTTCCATCATCCATCCTTCTATGTATCCATCCATCCTTCCATCCATCTACCCATCCACTCATCATCCATTCATTATCCATCCTTCCATTCATCCCCATCCATCCATCCACCCATCTGTCATCTATCCTTCCATCCATTCGTCCAACATCCATTACCCATCCTTCTATGTATCCATCCATCATCCATCCTTCTATCCATCCATTCCCATCATCCATCCTTCCATCTATCCACATACATACATCCAACCATCATCCAACCATCCATCCATCATCCATCCATTATCCGTACTTCCACCATCCACACATCCACCCATCCCTCTATTCCTCTGTCATTCACCCATTATCCATCCTTCTATCCATCCATCTATCCATCCATCCATCCAACCATTCAGCTATACACTCCATTTATGGCCCCATCCAACTTCAATCCATCCCACCATCTGCAACATTCATGGAGTGACATGTGCCAAATGCAGTAAGGATAACGAGACACAGTTCTTGCCTCTAAGGGATTTATAGGCTAGTGAAGCAGACAGACCCATAAGCTGACCATTGCAAAGTGCTTAAAATTGCTATGCAGAGATGATAAAGCAGGAAGTACTCAACTAAAATGCCAAAACTGCATCACCTGTAACAAGTTGTAATGACTGCCCACACTTTCAGTTTTATTAGTACTTTCTGTGTTCCCAGTCTGGATCCAAGAAAGCATTAGAAATCACTAGTAACACTGTAGCAGATGAGAAGGAGAATCACCCCTCTGTCCTCGGGCCACCACCGGTGAAGTACTACTATGGCCGGACACGCCTCTGGGTGACACAGCACGGAGGAAGCAGACAAGTGTCTGTCTCTGGGTGTTTATCTTCCCCTGAGGGAACAGACATGAGACCACAGGTAATGATGAGTAGGCCCAAGGGGACAGAGGCTCCCGCCGGAGGGAGGCTGGCGTACACAACCCCACGGGGACAGAGGACTAGCAGCATGGGTGTCCTCGGCCTCTCTCAGCAGCTGAAGGTGCGCACGTCCCCACATGACACCCTTGGAGCCGTCATTCACCATCTGTCTTCTTCTCAGCAGCACGCAGAAGGCAGCGCCACGCTTCCGATGCCATCTGAGCTACAGTGAGTGCCGCCTGCACATCCATCCTCAAGTCAGGCCCTGGGGGAGAAAGGCCAGGGGCCCTGCTTTGTTTCTGACTGAGGCTCCACGCCTGCCTCCAAACACACGCCTCAGGTGGCCCTCCAGAGGCGGAGGCGCCCGAGGTTCTGAGCCTGGGGACACCCCCAACTGCAGTCAGAGACTCTGACCCCTGCCTCAGCGGGCCATAGCCATGGCGCCCGGAGCACAGTGGAAACCGCCGACCTGAAACCGTGGAACAAGTAACCCAGACGCCCACTGAGAAAGCTCGCGACGCGCCCACGGGAGTGTGTGTGCGCGTGTGTGAGCCATGGTGTGTGTGTGTGTGCGTGCGCACGGTGTCATGGTGTGTGTGTGAGCCGTGGTGTGAGCCATGGTGTGTGCGCACGTGTGAGCTGTGGTGTTTGTGTGTGCGTGGGTGCACGTGTGTTTTCAGAGTGTGCTACCACACTTGCCTTCATATAATAAAACCTTTGGGGCAGATAAAGGCCTAACACAACCTTCAGTGCCTTCTCAGTGTGATTTATGGAAAAGAGGAGAAACAATCACAGGTTTGGTTTGAGAGTCATGATGAAGCAATTTGGCAGCTCCCGACCAGCCGCCAGAGGCAGTCACCCAGGAGCCCAGCTGGGGAGGGGGTGGAGACGGCACCACCCACCCGAGGCTGAGGACCCACCTCAGGAGGACACAGAAACGATTCCCTAGGCCTGAGATTTTAGAGAAAACTCTGTTCATTTAGAGAAAAGTGTGTGCTCTGGAGTGGAGTGTGGAGGTGGGTGTGTGGGTGTGTGTGCTGTGTGCTCTAAAGGTGTGTGTTGTGTGCTCTGTTGTGTTGTGTTGTGTGTTGTGTGCTCTGTGTGTTGTGTGTGTGTGTGCTGTGTGCTCTGTGTGTTGTGTGGTGTGTGCTGTGTGGTGTTGTGTGGTGTGTGTGCCGTGGTGGGCTGTGTTGTGCTGTGTGTGTGTGTGCTGTGTGGCTCTGGTTGTGTTGTGTGGTGTGTGTGGTGTGTGTGCTGTGTGCTCTGTTGTGTTGTGTGGTGTGTGTGGTGTGTGTGCTGTGTGGTGTGTGTGCTGTGTGTGGTGTGTGTGCTATGTGCTCTGTGTGTTGTGTGCTGTGTGCTCTGTGTGTTGTGTGGTGTGCGTGCTGTGTGCTCTGTGTGTTGTGTGCTCTGTTGTGTGGTATGTGTGCTGTGTGCTCTATTGTGTTGTGTGGTGTGTGCTGTGTGCTCTGTGTGTTGTGTGGTTTGTGTTGTGTGCTCTGTGTGTTGTGTGTTGTGTGGTGTGTGTCTGTGTTGTGTTGTGTACTGTGTGCTCTGTGTGTGTGGCATGTGTTGTGTGCTCTGTTGTGAAGGCGGGTGTGTGTGCTGTGTGCTCTGTGTGTTGTGTGCTGTGTGCTGTGTGTTGTGTGTTGTGTGCCTGTGTGTTGTGTGTGTGTTGTAAATGTGCTCTGTTGTGCTGTGGTGTGTGTGCTGTGCTTGTAGTGTGTGGTGTGTGTGTGCTGTGTGTTGTGTTGTGTGGTGTGTGTGCTGTGTGCTGTGTGTGTTGTGTGTGTGTGTGCTGTGTGTTCTGTGTTGGTGGTGGGGTGCTGGGGGTTTGTGTGTTGTGGTGTGTGTGTTGTGTGCTCTGTGTGTTGTGTGTTGTGTGGTGTGTGCTGTGTGCTCTGTGTGTTAGGGGTGGGTGTGTGCACTGTGTGCTCTGTTGTGTTGTGTGGTGTGTGTTGTGTGGTGTGTGTTGTGTGTGTGTGTGCTGTGTGCTCTGCATGTTGTGTGGTGTGTTGTGTGCTCTGTGTGTTGTGTGGGGTGTGCTCTGTGTGGTGTGTGGTGTGTTTTGTGTGCTCTGTGTGTTGTGTGTGTGTGTGCTGTGTGCTCTGTGTGTTGTGTATGTGCTGTGTGCTCTGCATGTTGTGTGTGTAGTGTGTGCTCTGTGTGGTGTGTGTTGTGTGCTGTGTGTGTTGTGTGGTGTGTGTGCTGTGTGGTCTGCATGTTGTGTGGTGTGTGTAGTGTGTGCTCTGTGTGGTGTGTGTGTGTGTAGTGTGTGCTCTGTGGTGTGTGTGGTGTGTGCTCTGTGTGGTGTGTGGTGTGTGTGCTGTGTGCTCTGTGTGTTGTGTGTTGTGTGTGCTGTGTGCTCTGCATGCTGTGTGGTGTGTGTAGTGTGTGCTCTGTGTGGTGTGTGTGTGTGTGCTGTGTGTGTGGTGTGGTGTGTGGTGTGTGTAGTGTGTGCTCTGTGGTGTGTGTGCTGTGTGCTCTGTGTGTTGTGTGGTGTGTGTTCCAGGGCTCTGCATGTTGTGTGGTGTGTGTAGTGTGTGCTCTGTGGTGTGTTGTGTGTTCTGTGTGTTGTGTGGTGTGTGTGCTGTGTGCTCTGCATGTTGTGTGTGTGGTGCCCAGGTGGTGTGTGGTGTGTGCTGCAGGCTCTGCATGCTGTGGTGCAGTGTACCTGGTGTGTGTGCGTGGGTGCAGGTGGTGCAGGAGAGGGAAGCTCATTGTGTAGAAAATGAGTCTTAAGGAGAGGAGAGAGGCAGCCACTGGTAACCCCCAGTGAGGAGACTGATCAGAAGGCCTGAGCTGAGTTCTGCAAATGAAATTTACTTTTTTCCATGTGGGTCTTTCAGCCCCGGAAAGTGACCGAGACTGTGCACACAATGACAATGTACTCACAATGTGCTGCGCTGCAAATACGCCGTCCACGATGGCGCAGCAGAAGGCGGCCACCACACCAAAACTGATGAACACAATCGCTGCCACCAGCTGCAACGGAAGAAGAGTGTGGGTGCCCAGCTTTTACCAACCCCGGCTTTCAAGTGCAAACCAATTCCAAGTCCCAGCTCGAAGTCGAGGCTGTTTCGCAGAATCGCCTCTTCTCACCTCTACCTTTCGTCCCAGGACCTCCAGCCTGGCCAGGCCAGACTCCACCCTGTGGGTGGTCCTCATGCGTCTGTTCCACAAGACCCACCCAGGCGCCTTCTGCACAGAAGGGCGTTGCCATCCCCGGGCCCTTGGCACGTGCCTCTGAGAAGCAACCTCTGATGGCAGGTCGTGTGCACAACCCTAATGTGTGTGCTCATGACACACACACACGTGCACGCTTGCCACAGGTCTTCTTAAAGTCATCGGATCAGCTTCACACACTGTTGCACAACCTGCTTTTCTTACCTAATGGTCTTGGAGCTTGGAGCTAGCAATGGTTTATAGTGCATTAGTGAACCAGTGCACACCGATGGATATTTAAACAGTTGGCAATTTCTTGCCACTACAAACTCTGCTTTAAAGCGGGGTGTCCTGCCCTAACCCTAAAAACTGGCAGGGAGTCTCCGTCCCCGTGGATGCCTGCCGGGGGGGGGGGGGGGGGGCAGGTGCTATCATTCTCTTCTTGGTGCCTGGCTCAGTACCATGCTGGGCAGAGCAGACCCTCCTGAATGGCCGCTGAAAACTGTGGCCCCGAGGTGGCACCTCGCTTGGTTCCGTCCCGATGGGATGTTGAGTTGCCAGCTTGGGAAAGAGGTCCCAGTGACAAGCAGAACCCATTGGTGACAAAAGAGGGAGGGCCTGCGGCTCGGGGGCCGTGGTGCTGCATGTGGACGTGGGAAGCCTGAGTCTGTTTGGACCCGTCCTGCACACCAGGCACGAGCAGGGGGGCTTGTCCAGGCCACCGAGCTCTTGTCAGAGCAGAGCTAACTGAGCAGGGTGGTCTCCTCCTCCACAGACTCGTGAAGACACCCAGCAGAGGCGCCCCGACTTTCCTTCTCCCCAGGGAGCCAAGTGTGGGGAGAGGAGTCTCATCCACTGTGACCCTCACGTGGAACTGCCGTGGCCTCGTTCCCCCGATGTCAGCGTGGCCCTGTGTGTCCATCTCTGCCCCGGGCTGCACACCTATCGTCGCCCGAAACCCAAACAGCAGCCAAATCCAGCCCATCTGCCACGGCTCTAACGCTACCCACTGGATTCACAGGTGGGACACGTTCCCAGCAGGCCCCACAGCAGCAGAAGGTGGCGGGTAGGGGCTGGCAGGTCCAAACCTTTCAAGCCATGGGCCAGTGGTGGCCACCTGCCCCCCCACTTCTGACCCTCCACACCACAGGCCTGCTGGGGGTCCTCCCGGGAAGCCCCATCAGAGCTGGTCCAGGGCACCCCACGCTGCTGGCCAAGCCCTTTTGCAGAAGAAAGTGCAGCTTTTTTTTTAAACAGTGGGCACCCTCACTGCGAATCTGGGTGTTTTATCCTTCAGCAGAGGAAGAGCTGTCAATCGGTGGCTTCCTGGTGAGCCCACGCTAGACAGTCACAAAAGGCGCCTTGCATTAAACGTGAGTGATGAGGCAGCAGGGCTGGGGCAGCGGGCCGGAGAGCGAGTCCACGAAAGTCAGTAGGTCCTCGGGCGGGTCCGAGGCCGGCACGGTCCCCACGTGAGTTAGAGAGAGACGGTTCTTCCACCTGCTGGCACCTTTCTTCTAAGGAAACCTGCCACAGCAGATCAGACGAGACGTTCTAAGAGCTCAGACATCAAGCACGTGCACTTCCAAAATACATATTTTAGGTTTACGAGAAGAGGCAGGTCTGAACAAAGCCTGGGCAGTTAGTATGAAGCTGGCTGACTCCCCTGAGCTCTGGCCCCCAGTGGCTGAGGGGGCGGAAGGGGACGTGGCCACCAGACCCAAGGGCAGCACATGGGTTCTCGGAGTGGCCTTGGATGGAGCCCTTGCTCTCGTACGCCCCCTGCCACCTCCCCAGGCAGAGCAGAGCAGAGCTGGCACGCTGAGTTATTCCGGAGGATTCTCTGAACTGCTGGGCTGGACTTGCCCCTAGTGGTCCCCGATTCCCCCTCTGGAAAGGGAAGTGCTGGGCTCACTGACTTATTCACGAGCGTCACAGATGCTCCAGTGTCCCCACGGGATACACAGCCCGGTGCTGCAGGCGCAGATGTGAACAAAACAGGCACATCCCCGCCCTTCCCGCGTCCCGCGTTTCTGGCATTTTATCGCCGATTGCCTAAAAGAAAGTTGAGGTGCTCCCAGCAGGAAGCTGTGCAGAAAACCGTGGCTGCATTAGCCTGAGTCTGAACCAACAGCTCATTTCTATTTGGACACTCTACAGGCTGTGGCAATTTAAAAATCTCCTCTTCTGCCTAATTGCTCTGGTTCGATTGACTAAACATGACAGAGCCCATCGCATGGCGTGGCTGCCCGGTGTGCTGCAGGAACGAACAGATAAGGCAGGTTCCCCCTTGAGCAGCTGACCCTGTCTGACGGCCACCGTAGCAAAGCGTAAACCAGGGCTCTGGGTGTGCACACGAGGAAGGCCTCACTGCACCCTGAGAAAGAAGGAAGGGCTGAACCAGTCCTGGAAGAATAAACAGAATTTCCTCAAGGCGAGGGGAGGAAGGTGCTGGGGGTTGCACGTCGGTGGGACCGGGCCCGCTGAGGTGGGGCAGGGGCCACGGTGTGTGGGCTGGGGGCGAGCTGCAGCCACCATGTGGCTGTCAGAAGCTCATCAATGTCAAATATGCAATGGTGTTTGGCTTTCTTTGGGCTATATTTGTATAAATATGTTATTGGTATGTGTTCCAAAGTTATGGAAGACTCATAATTCTCATAAATTTCAGTGTACATTATCGGTAATAATTATCATTGTTATGTTAAAATTATTGTGTGCCACGAGGTAACACATTTCCTTGTCAATTGTGTCCTTATGGCTACCCTAAAACATTTTGTCATCCATGAACAATTGTTGTCTTGTCTTGGTCCTCTTTAGAAGGCGGTTTTATAATCAGCTATGAAGCTCTAACAGGTGCTGCTGAATGCAGGTTTCTGATAACTTTGAAGATTGTGACATCAGAATAGAGGAAAAACGTTCAGGACTCTTGAAGAGCTAAAATGTTCATTAATACCAAGCAGGACAGGAATTAACTGCGTGAACTGAACCAATAGGAGACTGGAGTGATCTTTTTGATGTTTTGCTTAAAATGTTGCTAATCCTTAGTCTTGCTTTTCAGAATCAAGGAAACTTCTTCTGAGCTATTGACAGCTTTTAACAATTCAGTATACTCCCATGAACAAAATTTGGAGCTTGTTTCTCTCTACCTGATTTTCTCTAGAATTTGGAAACTATTTGTGACTATTCTTAAGTTATGGCAATACAGTTATTTGCATAAGTGCAATAAGAATCTGTTTTGTAACAGGACACAACTGGAGAAACTGGTTATTTTACCAAGACTTTGACTGGAATGGTCAAAGTCTTGGTAAAATAAGACTTTCTGTGTGTTTTCCTTTAAGGAATCAAACTTGACTTATGAAGCCAATAAAGCTCTTGGAAACTGGCCTCCTGTTCTGTGTACACAGTCCCTGCACAGGGGTTCTGATCTGTGGTAAGTAAAAAATGTCAGTTTCTGACAGGCCAGGAACCTCAACAGGAGAGAAATTCACCCAACTCATAGGTGTTTAAAGGTACAATTCCATGGCTGGGCTCAGCTTTAAAAAGTCTTATCTCAGACTCCTTCTACAAAACAAAGTTCCATCAAATACAATTTAAAAGGCCTATGTGAAAAAATAATTATTCTTGCTGCACTGTATACAAATAATCAAGACAAGTATAATAAAGGAAACCAGTCCCATCATGTGTCTTTTAAAAAAATGGAAAACTGGAGAGAGAAAAATATGTTTCAAAAACTATGGCACACCTGTTGTTAAATTCCAGTCTTGTCTGATGTTTTTCAATTGTTATGATTTTCTACAATTTAAAGTCTAATTTTTCTGGCTACAAGTCTCCAAAATAATGTTTTCAATTTTTCCTTTTTCCCCACTTTTCTAACTGGAAATCACTGAAACCTAAGCTGTGCTTTCAGCCCTGTAAGCTGAAGACAGATGCATCCGCAGACGCTGCCTCTAAGCCCCTAAAACAGAGAGTGTTTCCAGGAACACTTTCAGCCCTGTAAGCTAAAGACAGATGTATCCAGTAGACGCTTGCTTCTAAGCTCCCTAAAACAGAGAGTGTTTCCAGGAACACATCCACCTCTTCCTCCTGGATGTATCCGCTGGACGCTGCCTCTAAGCCCTAAAACAGAGAGTGTTTCCAGGAACAAATCCACCCTTCCACTCCTAGATGTATCCAGCAGACGCTGCCTCTAAGCCCCCTAAAACAGAGAGTGTTTCCAGAACACATCCACCTCTTCCTCCAGATGTATCCACAGACGCTGCCTCTAAGCCCCAAAATGAGAGCCTTTCCAGGAACAAATCCGCCTCTTCCACTCCTAGATGTATCCATAGACACTGCCCTAAGCCCTAAAACAGAGAGTGTTTCCAGGAACACATCCACCTCTTCCACTTAGATGTATCCACAGACGCTGCCTCTAAGCCCTAAAACAGAGAGCTCTTCCAAACAAATCCTTCTTCCTACCCTAGATGTATCCATAGACACTGCCTCTAAGCCCCTAAAACAGACAGTGTTTCTGGGAACAAATCCGCCTCTTCCACTCCTAGATGTATCCACAGACGCTGCGTTCAGTGGCCTGTAAGAACGACTCTCTCTCAGCAGGAAGTAGCCGGAAAGAACATGCCACACCTCACCCTTTTCAACTATAGAGTCTGGATTGACAGAGCAGGAACGTCACCGTCTTGGACAAACACCACCATTTGAAGTTCTCCTTGATTAAAAGCCCCCAAAATCCAGCCCCAAAAACATCAACCTAATGTCTAATATCAGTGTGACCATAAACCACAAATGACACCTTTGGCCAGAAACATGCCAACCCCACGACA